AGCGACTCGAGCGATCACGCGAACGTGATCGAGACCGATGACTTGGTCGACCACGTGAACGGGACCGAGATCTGCGATTTGTGCGACCACGCGAACGTGATCGAGAACGGCGACTTGAAGGGCCGCGCGAACGAGACCGAGTCCAATGCCAAGAATCTTCACGTGCAGGGCGTCGGCGTGAGCCGGCGCGATTAGAGGCGCGCACATTCTTGGCCAACGAGCGACGATACTTCTCGATCCACTCGTGTTCTTGTTCACCGAGCGAATACTCGGCGATGTGGCTTCTCCACTCCTCGACAGTCGGACGCGATCCAGTACAAGTGCCACAACCTTCAGCGACCCTCACGTAGCAGATGCGGCGCATGTCCTCCAATGCGCTGGTGCAGACGCGCTCATGGAGCTCCGTGAGCGAGTGCTCTTTGACGATCTCCTCGCGGTACACCAGCCAGCCGACGACGCTCTCCCCTTCTTCCTGCGTCCGGTTCCAACGCCGGATGAAGGCGCACCACGACTCCTGCAATGCGCCATATGCGACACCCTCGACAGGCTTCTGACGCAGTCCACGGAAGCGCCGGAAGTGATCCTTCATCGTGTCCAGCGTGTCCGGAGCCCGCGCTCCGGATATATCGTAGAGAGCCCATGCCCGGAGCTGGTCGTCCATCACGCGCGTGCCCCGTGCCGCTGCGGTCGACGACGTCGCCGTCGTCGATGTTCCCGTCCGCTGTTGATCCATCGTGCTGCCTGTCGTCTTCTCCGCAAGTCGAGTTATGTCGCTCCTGCGCTTCGCAGGAGATGTCTCCGTCTCTGTTTCGCTACGCCCGTTAGCCAAGTCCCCGTTCGCCATCCTCACGCAGATTGATTTGTTCTTCGCCCACTGCTTATGTTGCGTAAGTGCAACAATAGGAGGGGGGTAATGTAATGGACCCTTCCATTACATAAGTAGGTAGATTTCTTTACATAAGTAGGTGCATCAGCACACGACTAGCGTGTGCTGAAATGCTGTCATGCCATTGGCTGATATATGAAGAGCCAGACCCATTATTAGCCAATTGGACTATGACGTGTATTTGAGTGGCCAGGGCTGTGGCCTTGGTCCTAAAATAAAGTCAGAGTTGATTTTTCCTTAAATCTAAGACTCAGTCGTTCTATTGCGAGCTTCCTCAACACTATAGTGTAAGCAAGTAACGGAGTAAATACCTGGCTCGTTACAGGTATTGAAGGACCACTAATGCCAATGCCAAGGACGGGTATCCAACTTGGTTAATCTTGTATGCATAAGGAAAGTATACGTATTTGAGACTACACACACGATGGAAGCAGTTGCGTCTCTACCCGCGAAATTGGAAGTAGCACACAACATTCAGCGCCTTTTGTAGAGTTGGAAGCTCGCTCCGCCAAAAGCCGAAATGCAACGGCTTCTACGAGCCTGTACTGCCCAATAGGTACATTCTAAGTTGTAATAACCCCCAGCTTGCGATAATTTGTAGATTTTATTGCTTACAAGCCCCATATAAAAAATAAAAGCTCGGCGCAAACATTTACTCGTGCTCAAAAATATTAACCTTGTATCAAATAGAGGCCCTAGGCAGGGTTCTGGAAAACCCCAAAATCTTGAAATATCAAGGGTAATTATCAAACATCATGGGTGGGTGGAATAATCGAGGTTTTAGTACCTATTCCTTTACCAATTCTTTTAATTGACTGCAATTAGGTCACGAATGGTTTGCTTAGAGCGCAGCAGCAACTTTGGGGTTTTCCGCGGAAGATCTCCAAAACGCCGCCCTCATCTCAAGACGTCTTTAGCCTACAATGCACAGCATGTCGCCACGTACCAGCGCGATTCCGGCTAGCTCGGAACACCCCCCTGTCATCACAGAGCAGAGGGATCGGTCTGCTCGCCCCGGTCGGAAAGCAAACCCAGCCGGGAGCCACGTGGATGTGGATCCACAAGGCGGCGTTTGGTCCAAAAAGTGCAACCATCTTCATTAAACCACCGGTCGGGACCATGTAGAACGTATCAAGCAGCATCTGACCAAGCGCTGCGCTGCTCAATGAATACAGCGGTAATTACGGATACTTCTAAACCCGTCTTAAGAGCGACACCACTAAGCAGTTTTCAAGAACGCTTGGCTTGGTGGGCGTACAGCACGGGTATGTCCTTCTATAGGATCGGACATGCCGGCTTGCTCGAAGCACTCCAGCTACTACATCCAGACATTAGAGTGCCAAGTACCGAGCAGCTGGCGACGGTTTTCCTCGGCCATGCGTACAAGAAGTCGATCTAGATACTCAAAGTCGCACTGGGTAGAAAATTATGACCTTGGTCACAGAAGAATGGACTGGCATCAATGGTCAAGCTGTTGTGCACTATGTCGTCGTCTGTAGAGAGTACACTTGTTGTTATAGAGCATCTACATCGGTACTCAAGCGCACGACGCCGAGGGATTGGCAACGGATATCAAGCTCGTTACTGCTAAATATGTTTTTTTGAAATCGGTGTCGTGGTGACAGACAGTACAATAATAGCGCGAACAAGGCCACTCGGGAAGCATTACAAGAGCATTTCTTCAAAATGTTATTCCACGGCTGCGTCTGTCACAGCTAGCATTTTCTTGTTAAGGACTTGCTGGAGCTTAAGGCGATATATGCTAATTGATAGATGGGCTAGTGATATAGATAGATTGGGATTGATACAGGGATGGGTGGGTGACTGTGGGTGGATTACAAGAATAGGTGGGTGGTTTTAAATTATTATAATAAAATCACCCTGACAATAGTCGGGTTGTGTAGGTGGTATTAACGGTTTATTCCTAACCCATTTTTCCTCAGTCCAGAACAAAGCCGCGCGAGGGCGCGGAACAGCTCTGGATTTTGTCAGCAAAGACTAAGAAAACACATCATTTTTTTATTTGTTACTGTACAATAATGCCCACGCCCGTATTTTAAGCGTAATACATGTACACAGTATACAGTACGTACTGTAATATCAGAAAAGGTGCGTAACTAATGTTTTTACAGCGTTTGAAAAAATCAAAGCTCTATTCGTCGATCGTCCAACCACGTGGGTGGATGTGTCAATGGTCCTGTCGTATACATGATGTATTCCACTCGAACGTTTTGCGCGAGGGTGGTATTGTAATCTGATCGACGCAAAGCGTGCAACTATTTTTCCAGCAGCAAAAGCAGCGCTCAAAAGTCTCCCATCCGACCGCAGGAAAACCTATTTGGCGTACATGGCAGAGCTGGTCCCAAATTTTTCGAGCGCTGGCTGCTAGCTGGGAGAGTACGTACTACCAGGAGGGATGACCTTCCATCGACAGCAGGGGGTGATATCATGAAGGTTTGTAACTATCGGGTTACAAACCTTGTGTACACATCCTACTATTTTAATATTGATATCTAGAAAGTCGCGATTGTGTCGAATACGAGTAGATATACTGTACGTATTTCTCTCATATCACCAAGTATAAGATACATACTACTTTTTGGTTTTAAAAATCTCACAACGTGGGTGGAGCCTTACAATCGAAACGGCATGGTAAGATTAGAGCTTCCAGAACATTCAGGGCACATTGTTCAATTTTACATGTCTAAAGATTAAGTGTCATCATATTCTTCACCGGTGTACATCATGGCGTGCTGCATCTGTGTTGGCCTGTAGATTAGATAACTAAAGTACGCGTAATTATATCTAATTAAAATTAAAAGCCTCTCGGATCCCACCTCAGGCCTTACCAGCCTCTTCAAAGTTTGTCCTTCATACTCTCAGATTGATCTACGTGAGCCCGTAGCTCGTAGTAGTTTAACCTGTCCCATTAGCAACGGAGACTACTCATTTCAGACACTTCTCTTGCTGCCCAATCATTTTGCCATTAGTGTCTTTCACATAAACGATATCTTCGCACACCCCAGCTTTAATGTGATGGCCCTAACTATATTCACGTCCCCTGTAGCGTCGTTTTAATCCAGAGAGACATTAGTAAGGAGTTGGCCGCCAATATCGCTAATAACTTATGTTGTGATAGCACAGCTTCTCAATGGGACGAGATGTCTTCCAACTGCCCAGTTAAGGTCATGCATCCAGCCTCTATGCCTACATCGCACACTGTGTTTCTCCTGCACGATACAGTGCTTTTCTGATCTCCTTCGACGGTGTAAGGTCTTCGTTCAGGCGCATCAAATGTATTTTTAAAACTAGTTACTACGAGTATCTTCCAGTAAGCTCGCATTATCACTTCTGGTTGCGTATCGGTCTTTCCGCCGTCTCACCAGACTGCCGCATTTGCCGGTGTCGAGATGTCTTGGCTGCATCTTCAGCGCACTACTAAAAAATGCGTATCCCGTGCCCGACTATTATATCAGAGGGCACTTAACTCGCCTACGCGCATAATATTGTGAGATCTACTCCAATTTGCGGATCGCGGCTGTTTTAATAGACCGTAACCTATCGACGGCCAATCAGAGACCTATTATGTTGTCTATCCTAATAGGCGGTCTCTCACTGCTCTCGAAGCAAGCTTCCACATTCCTTGGAGGGCAAGGCACGTGCTGCCTTCTAGCTTCCTAACATCATGCGCTCTCAAAGTCGTCCGTATCCGTACTCCAACACGAAGATCTCCTAGATTGACGTCTCCGTCGTCAAACGACAGCGGCCCACTGGGTACAGCAAGATCGCCAGGGCTGACGTCCTTTCGTGCCGGGCATCCGAGCTTAGCACACGGCGCATACAACGATTGACGTCGGCGGTGTCACATCCTGCCCCAGTCCCAGCTATGAGACGGCCACCGCGACTTACATCTCCGACAGCAGCGCCGGTTGAACATTTACTGCCTTGTCCAAAAAGCGGAGCTGCTGGATACGTCTACAAGCGTCTGATTGCCCTACGCGAGGAGAAAGCAGGCGTAGGAAGGAAGAGGAAAGGCAAGGTGGAGTCGTCAAGATTCCTGACACAGAATGTGAGGGGGTTTAAACAGGAAAACCAGTTCGGCTGGTGACGAGCGTGGCGTAGAATACCGGTGAGGGAACGGCCGGTGGCTTGGTTACTTCAGGAGACGCACATCAGCTCAGAGGATGAAGCGGACACACTGGGGGAAGCATGGAAGCAGCTTTGGGGGAAGCAAAACGAGAAAGACGGCCCTCGCTTATCATATTGGAGTGTGCACAGCTCCAAGGTAGGAGGGGTGGCGATATTACTCAACCGGATCACTCCAAGGAGGCCAAAGCATGGAACGTAGGTCACTGGACTAATCGGGGAATAGCTGTCCGAATCGGAGGGCAACTCGTAGTAAATGTCTACGCCCCCAATGTACCGGTGGAGCGAGAAGCATTCTGGAAACAACTCAGGCAATGGCAATGGCCCAGATGTGAAATAGTGTTGGCCGGCGATTTTAATTGCGTGCAGAGTCCGCCACTGGACAGGATGGGTGGACAGCGAAGTGCGAAACCCGAATGTCGAGCTCTACGGGAGCTCGTGCGCCACCTCGACCTGGAAGATGCTGTGACGTTAGAAGGAGCGGTAAATGAAGACGAAGAATATATCGATCCCACGGAATTCTTTACGTATTGGAGAGCAGAATGTGCGAGTAGGATCGACCGTTTCTACGTTCCAACCGACTGGACGAACAAGGTGCACTGGGTGGAAGTTAAGGAACCAGCAGCGCCCTCCGATCACCAGTGTGTCTGCCTTCACCTACGGAATCAACGCCAACAGCACCAACGACAACTCACGAACCGTCTAATTTCATACCCCATTCGGTCCTCCCGCCCAGCGCGGGTACATGCAGAGCTAATGGCCGAACTGATAGAAAAAGGGGTGGGAAAAGGAGTAACGAGCAGGACTTGGGACCGCACAGCTGTCGAATGTGTACACAGCATCAAGAAAATTCAGCGTCAGGAGCGTAGAAGAAGGAAGAAAGCCAAGCATCGAGCGAATGCGCAAAACCGAGCGCATCTGCTTACAAGGCGGGATCTCCTCCGCCACACTGAAGAAGACGTGCGCGAAGAACACGAGATTCGTCTAGGTCAGAAGCTGGAGAGAACAATTGAGCAAATCCGGTGGAATTAGAAGAGAGTATCCAACTGGGAGAAGGACCAAACAATCACTGATATCCACCATGTCCACGGGGAGAAGTTTGACCGACACATGAACATAGCAGACAAGGTCGGGTCAGAATGGAAACCCATTCTCGGAAGGGTGCACAGCCAAATACCTTTGGAGCAGTTAGGAAGTGAGTTCGATCAGTTTGTGCTCGTGCCACAGGACAGGCACGTGACACCGGAGCAGAATAAAGTCTTGATGGCAGAAATTATGCAGGAGGAAGTATTGACTGCCTTTGCGAACCTCAATAGACACAAGGCAGCGGGGCCGGACGGTCTCAACAACGACTTCTTCAAAGACGCGCAACCTCTGCTGGTTCCAGCAATGGTGGCAATAGGCAATGAGTTGCTTAAAGGGGCGGAGCCGCCACCGTCTTTCCTTGAAGGACTGATCATCCCGTTGAGGAAAAAAGGAGATTCAACAGATGCGATGGACTATAGGCCTATTTCTTTACTGCAGACTGGGTATAAAGTCTTCATGAAGGTGCTAGCGGCCCGGATGCAAAGGGTTCTGGGGAGACCAATTGGCGATTCTCAACAGGGTTTCATTCAGGGGCGTCAAATGATGAAGACGGTCATGATGATGCTGGCGGTGATCGCAACAGCACGGGGTGAACCTGACCTAGCAGCATTGCTCAGCAGAGTCATTATTCTGCTAGATTTCAGGAAGGCCTACGACACGGTATCTCGTGAATTTCTCTTTCTGGCGCTGAAAAATTTTGGCTTTTCGAAAGAATTCGTCAACTTGCAGCGACGGCTCCATGACGGAACAACAGCGAGGTTTCTCGTCAACGGAGAGCTCTCAAGAGCACAATTAGTGGTATCGAGCATTAGGCAGGGGTTCCCGGTCGCGCCGCTGCTCTTCATCATCGCAGCAGAGGTGCTGGCTTTAGCCATTCGGCAGGACCCAGAATTGCAGGGCATTGAAGTACCGGGAGCAGAAGATCAAAGACACTTGTTCTCGGCCTTTGTAGATGACTCTACTCTATTTCTGCAGCGAGCTCAGCAGATCCCCCGAGCCATGCAGACTGTGGAGCGCTTTGGTAGACTGTCTGGTCTACAGGTCCAGCCAGCCAAAAGCATGCTCATCTTCCTGAATAAGGCAGTCGAGTTGACTCAGTTCCTTGGCCTGCCGGTCCTGAAACATGGAGATACGGTCCGTTATTTAGGCTATCAAGTGGGCACCGGAACGTTGACGGATGTGAATTGGGCCACACGCATTCGGAACATTCAGCGAAGGCTGGCAACGGCAACGAGATTAGCGACCAGTGTGGAGCATCGGGTGACGATCTTAAATGTTATTATGCTACCGTCCGTGCTGTTCACTGCGGTAGCGTTCGAGATGCCCCTATGGGCAGAGAAGCAGATTCTCAACCTGCAAAAACAGTTGCTATGGAGACATAGCACAGCGACAGATACGAGTCAGCACAAGGTGAATCCGGGACTTGTATATGCCCCAAAGCCGGCAGGAGGAATGGGGCTGGCATCAGTTCCTATAGCATGTCAGACCCAGAGAGTTAAACACACCATACTGTGGCTCGTGCAACGCAAAGACACTTACTTGTTTGCATGGAAGGCTTGGATCTTTCGCGGATCAACGAGTGAGTGGGGTGAAGTTATATCTCCGACTAGCGTGACCGCTAAGGTAGCCACACGAGTCAGAGGACAGCCTGGGGAAAGAGTGCAGCAGCTGATGACTACTTGGCTCCAACCACCTGATGACCTTTCAGCAGACTCCATCTTGAAGTACCAGACGGATCTTGAGCAACTGGAAGTAGACTCTCTTAGCTGGACTGTAGCAGGAAGATGAATCATCGAGCTACCAAGGGTATTGGTGTCACCGTGGAGGGGGCTGACGGCGGTAGTTGAAACATTCTGGCCGGCGTTCAAATTGAACGCCAACCCGTGGATATTGGACAAGAGTGGAAACACACTCAGCAATAAAAAATACGACAGGATTCAAAGCTGCACAATCGAGGAACTTCATATCACGCGTACAACGGAGACGACTTACGCCTTCTCAATCCCAGTCGAAGGAGCAGTGGAACATCAGCAGGCAAAGTTGAGGAGATGGGGCCTACCAATACTGCTGAACGCTCCGACGTTAGCAGTTGGAGAGGTACTGCACGTCCGGCCCGAACTGACTTTGAGGCATCCGCCAGAAGTGTTAGCAGGTTACACCTGGCAACTCACGCAAGACGGGGGAGCGAGAGGAACGTGCACCACGGGTCAAGGAACTCAAGGAAGCAGCATTCTGTTAGAGCAAATGCCCAATGGGATAGCATGGAGATTAGCGTCTGGAGACCTGGGGGAGGAGATTCAGCAGCCAAACGCAAGGAAAGCACTACCCCAGCTCAGCGCCTCCGGAGGATTGGTGTTTTACGCGCACCCATGGGTCCACAGCTTCCCCTGGAGTGTGAAGAAGAGCGTGGCAAACAAACACGTTTTGGTGGCGTTGAAAAAGCAGCCGTTCCGGCGGTACAGAGGAGATGACGGACAACTCCACAGGCAAGTGCAACGCCTTCAGGACATTGTGGCAACCAGCGTCTGGCAAAATGCAGCAATGCAACAAACACCGACGCAAGTATGGGCACACAAACACCAGCTCACAGAATACCAGGTCTGGGTGGTATATCGCGTGGCAGTTAGGCAACTCAACTTATACCACGAAGGATGTCGGCAAGATAATAGCTGCCGAAAGACACCGGAGTGCCGTGAGCACAAAGAGACGGTGGAACATCTCTTCTGGGAGTGTTCATGCGCGCAAGCCTGCTGGAGCAAATTAATTCAGCACTGGACGGGCGAATGCTGGTCACCTGGGCAGGTAGAGCGCTTCCAACAGCAGTGCGCCAGCCGCAAGGCACCGCTGCTATCTCAATGCGTGCAGCAGCAATTGAGCAGCAAGTTTCCGGATGAGATTAAACAGTTTGCAGCGGACTGGAAGCGAATTTGGAGCATTCTTTGCAGTATCTGCCTCACTAGCATATGGACTCAGAGGAACAGAGTAGTCTTCCACCAAGACGAGATCACAGCGGACGCAAGCAGTCAGGAGTTTTGGGCGTCGGCCATGAGACAACTACAAGCGATAGGAAAGCGGGAAAGCCGAAGACCGGAAACACAAGAGCAAGGTACCCGAATGCTGTTATGCCTGCGGGTACTACAAAAACAACCAAGAGAGCACCCAATACAAAGGGTGAGCCTCGTACAACCACCGGACCTACTGGCACCGGCGTTGCTATCCAGGCTTAGGAAATTCCAGACGTCTAGTCGTCGTTAAGACCAAATAGAATAGTCTGCCTCTCTCTCAAACATTTACTGCCTTGTTCTACACCATCTAGGTACCCTCAAGTTTCGCTAGAGTGATTCGTCGCCACGACGCCCTTCCTGGTCGGTAGGGTTATTGCCACGTCCTGGCGATAATGATGCGACTGACGTCGAGGCTTCTTCGTACATATTTCAGTTGATTGTTCGCCCTATTATCAAGTCGACCATATACCTAGTTGTGTATAACGGATCCTCCTATGCAGACATTCTGCGCAAAATGGAAATGATGGCTCTCGTGTAAGGGCCGAGTAGTCAAATGAGAGCGAATTGTCGGTGGCTGCACCATCAATGGAGGGTTGGACCAAACTTATGCAGTTCAAGTCGAAAAGACAGATCGTAGACTACATAAAGTCGCAGCACCAGTGGAACTCATGGCTTACAGTTGTGAAGGGTGAGACTGTAGCTCCAGGTGTATAAGTACAAAGCTCGAGCCCTCGAAAAAGCTGTACTTGCCGTGTGGTGTCCTGCAAGTGTGGCGGCTTGCGCTAGGGGGAGAAGAGGGTACCTACTTTGTGATAGATTATTAACCAGCGAGCCACTATATTTAGCCAGTCACATGTGTCTGTAAACTACTTGGCCATTTTGCTGAAACAAACAAGCCGACCCAAAAGCGCAATTTTAATGGAATTCACAATATCATTTGTGCAAAGGAAGCTTTTTTAAAAAGGCAGTCGTTATATCACCCGAATGGCAACATGCTTTAGGATTTGCACACACCCGAGTGCGCCCGAATGTGTCCGAGCTACCCGAATGGGGGCATTCGATGTATACATGCGAATCATGTATAGCTGGATAAATAGTTCAGTGAAGTGTAGCCAAGTTCAATGACATCCCAGGCAGTGTCAGAGTAAAATGCATCAGAAATGTAAAGTCTCATATTATGCCGAAGAAACTTACGCAGACATACAGAGGAACCGGTATCGTAGAAGCTGCAACCTTTGCTTGTTCACATATCCCACGTCAGTAGCTCCCGTAAAGGCTTCGAATGCCAAGAGAACGTAAATGCCACAATTGTAGTTGTCGGTCTGGATACCAATGCTCGATACGTACGACTGGTGATGATACCTATCCTTCGGTATCGGTAGGACCCCCACCAATTTGTGCGCGATAGCTCGGACGCTGGCCGCATAGGATGATGACATCGGGTCGTAAGTGTATATGCTTTCGGTCGATAGGTCGATCATGATAGCGCACCAATGATTTCCATTACAATTGATGGGAACGAGCACCTTTTCGTCCGAAACCCCGGCGAAAAGAGACGCAAGGCCCTCCATGTCTGTAGTGTTTTTCCCGTTGACAACTACACCGACGTGGCTCGAATCAATGGTGACCAACCCTGGTGGGGACGCAAACATCACGTTCATCACCGCATACATGCACTCGTCCCCGAGTGACCCTATGTCAGCAAGGTCTAGTAGATGTATCTGTGCTCCAATGTTAGTCTTACTAGCCTTATTTCAAGGTAGTACAGTGACAAGATGACGTACCGAGTCAGAGCGAATCTGTAGCTGCTTAAGCTTGCTTGGTATCTCATGGTCTGCTTCAATAGTGTAGTCCGGGCTAAGCGGCTGGGTGAAGTCGATTCGGCTGATCCAGTTCAGCGTTTTGTCAATAGAGTCGAAGATTGTAATTGCGTGATGCCAACCTTTCATCATTCGTAATGTCGCTGTTGAGAACACACCCAGACTAATAATCTCGACCGATACGTCTCTCTCCGATAATCCAGACGTTTTGCGTTGAAGCGCGGAAACCTTCGCGTCACACTTTCTGAGTATGTCTTTGGAAAGCACTCGAGTCAGCAAACTTGAGTCTGTCAGCGTCTTGCCTGCAGGGAGTTTGCTCGTCTGTCGGGCCACTGGGGGTTTAGGCTTAGTCCCAAATGTATACACTTGTAGTCGTCGAGCAAGTTCAGCGGAGGGTGAATAGGTAGCGTTCGTGGAAAGGCTTTCGTGAGCGGACCGCAAGCTTATTTGCAAGTCAAACAGCGTTGAATCTGCCTCTACACTCCGAATCAGCCTGTTTCGGTTTGCTTTCTTTGCTTTTGGCGTGACTTTAGGTCTCCCTCGTTGACGCACTGGACTCGCAATTTCGAACTCCACATCTCTGTCTTCAATATCAACTGTAGATAATCTGGATGTAGTCGCCTGTTGATCTCCTTCACTGGCTTGAGCTACTGATGGTGTTTCATTGACTGGTTTTGATAGTGCAGAAATGCTATGTTCGGGCACAATCGGTCTCGGTTCAGGCACAGTTGGTCTCATATTAACCGCGGTTGTAGGTGGCTCCGGCTCACTTGGTTCTTGGATACATGCACTTGTTTTCGGGGCAGTCGGTTTCGATACACTCGCAGCTTGCTCGGGGATGATCAACCTTAAATCGGGCACAATCGGTCCTGCTTCGGGCACGGTTGGTCTTGATTCGGGCAAAGTTGGTCTTGGTTGGGCACAGTTGGGCATATGTCGGCTAGATCGTGAGTGTTGGCCTCCTCTGTGACACAGGAGGTCCTAGTCTTACTGCAATGATCGCCCACGGCAAGCAAGCTCTCTTCGGTATGCTCAATATCAGCTTGACCAAACTCACAGTCGCCACAATCATCCACATCGTCACCCGCACCTGTGGTCTTTGAAACCAGGATGGTAGGTCGTTCCGTTTCGGTTTGAAGAAGCCTCTCAAACTCCTTGTGCTTTATGATACGAGACACCGATTGGAAAAACTTCATTGCAAGCTGGTAGTCCTTCATCCCGAATCCGGCCATTGTGTCACTGATAGAGCTAGCTATCAAGTTTGCCTCCCGATATTTTCGGTTAGAGTCCCATGTGGAGCTCGCGTCTTCAGGGGCAGATACAATGGCAAACTTGGCACGAGGAAGTTCAGCCAGGTTGACAGCGGATCGGACCGTAGTTAGTAGCCACCGCTCGTTTAGCAATTGAGTCGGGATTACAGATTCCATCTTCATGTCTTTCCGTATGAAGAACACATGCCGGCAAGGAAGTAAGCGCGTCGCCATGAAGAGGCATGAGCACGTCCAACTATTCTTGTAAACCGTGTAACTGACTCGAGGCTCGTCGAGGGCATCTTCCGACCTTGATTCGCTATGGATAGCGTATACTCCGGGAAATACCTCATTATACTGATACGAAGTTTGGGCGACGGCAAACGTGTACTGCTTGTAGATCAGCTCACAAGCGTGTTGGCCAACGAGGTTGGCAACATGCTTCATCTCCTTATCGTAGTGAGTATGCTGGACGGAAGTCACTTTAAAGACTTGGTCGTTAAAGCTGCGTTCCTGACGACTCTGGTAGTACATGATGGAGGCAATGCACTCGTCCAGATCCATGAACGCGTCAACCCACTCTTTAAGCTGCTTCCATGCCGACTCTAAGCGGTTGTTAGTATTGTTTCCAAGAGTAACCGTGTTTTGACGCTTGTATGCACACCATAGCTCTCTGCAGCTATCCCAATTCTTCGTAAAGTAGGCTTCAAACGCATGCAGATTGGGGTCGCATTCCTCTTCGGCTTCATTGTGAGCATCCGAGCCGGCTTGAGTCTGAACTAAGTCCGCATCACCAACGCGAAACCCAATTGGACCCGAATCACCCGCTGAGTGCCCGACTGAGCTCGAATCCAACATTAAGTGCCCAACTGAGCCCGAATCAGCCACAACCTGCCCGAGTAAGCTCGAACTGCCCGAAGCAACGCCAAATGTCACAAGGTGGCGGAGGTAGCGACGATGCTTCAAATAGGCTGCCTCAGTAGGAGCATACACGAGCAAATTGAATGTGCTGCGTAGCTGGTCCTTTTGCCATGAGGTGAAACCATAGTCCGAAGATGCCACAGCCTCTCTCAGATACTTCAACACGTGAAACTGACAGAGCAGTATAGAGGCATCCGGAAACGCTGCCCTGAGTACCGACAACTCCGTAACGTCTTTGTCGATAAGTATGCTTTGGACTCGAGTCCATGCCGGATTGTTCTGCTTAAACTCCTCGATTGCAGTGACGAGAGTGTGACGACGTTCATTCTGTAGAAGGGCGTGCTGAACAAACTGTCCGTGGCCGAAAACATCGTGCGCCATGAACGAAAATACCTTGAACTTAGAAGCATTGGTGCCGTGGGTTGCATCGATCAAAAGAACCTCCGGGAATTGCTCGAACATCAGCCTCATGTGCTGGGTTTGCAATGTAATGCAGGTCGCAACTCGTTAATTACATTCAACACTGCACGTTAGCTAAGGTATCGATAGTCAAATTGAACGAATACTATACCTTGGTCTGCATGGTCTCGACAAATATACGTCCAATATTTCCTGGTGCTTCACAGAATTCTTGCATCCATGTTTTCAACCGTTTGGAACTGTTACGCGAATTACGCACGTTTTCGCTCTGCTTGAGGCTTCGAACCATGTTACGCACGTCCTGAATAGACGGGTTGGCGTCCGTGTTCTCGATGATGAACTTCATAATATTCTTGTGTTTTGCACCCGCCTTGCGGAGCATATCCACCGACTCAACGACGCCATCATCTAGCACCTTGTGGATCGAGGAAAAGCGATAGAAGGTTTGGCGGTTGACGACATGATTGTGTACGGGGTTACTGATACAAACTGCAAACGCGTGCTTGGCTTTGTCAACTAGTCGAACGCAGGCGTTGATCTATGCCAGATTTATTAACGTTAGTACCGATAATTGAGACAATAGTACCCGCAATGCCCGAACAAACCCGAACGAACCCGAGCAGAAGTAAAACTTGAAGCCGTATCTTACCTGGGCTTTGCAGTCCGATAACCGGGTCTCTTGACGTGGGCGCTTGCTGTTTCCCTTCGACTTGTACTTGCCGAAGCAAGTACAGACTAACGTCTTCGCGTAGTATTTCCATTCGGACGGGATTTCAGGTACTTTAGAGTTCTTGTTTCGGATGTCTGTGTTACGACGCTCAACGGTCGTGTTTGTACGAACACGGAAGACCTTCATAGCACACAATGGGATCAGCAAAGAAGCCTATTGCAGTGTAAATCCACTTTACCTGGTAAGATGCGGCAAAATACCGGTCTAAATACGAGTGGAAAGCGTCCCACGATGTGAAGTGGTGCTTGTCGGGCACAGCCAGCGTTACATTGATAGACTCAGAGTCGTCGGTGTTGGTCCAGTCGCTGGAGCGGCTGCTGTTGTCGCCAGATTCCATCGGGAGCGATTCGTCGACCAATTCCTCTTCGCTGGACTCGACCGAGACGTTGGATGCGTCATCATCGCTTCGTGACCCTGATCCACGACGTTTTTGAGACGTCCGCGCCCTTAGCTCCATCTACAACGTTTGCGCTGATCGATTCTTGCCCTGTGGCTGACCCACGCTCGGCAGCACGCGCAGATTCGTGGCGATCGTCCAGCAGTATTCAGACCCCGAGGCGGGAAAAATGTGTGGTCGCCCCCCTTTACTATACGGTATACTTTGTCCGGAAAGGGGTATTTATCTGAGGAGTTTTAGGGTCGACTCGACTCAGATTTGGCAGATATTCATTCGGGCAAATGAATCACTCTCAATAAAAAAAGCATGATAACAAGCATGTGGTGAGGTTGCATTTTGGATTCACTTTACTATCCTCGCACCACCTTCAAGTCCCACAATAATGAAGCACGAGGGAGGGCAGCCGAAGATATACTACGTGCGAGTAATTTTAGCCTCACAGAGTTGCTGTCCCCTCCTTGGCCGACGAGGTTTTGCTGACTTCGAGTTTTGCTTTCACTTCGGCATAAGTTCTCCTGGCGTTGTGAAGCTGAAAACTCTACAAGCAATAATTCAACATTTGCCGCAGTTACTGCACCCCCATGCCTTACCTTTAATTAGCGTGTTAATACTGTGCAGCATCCCGCTGATTTGAGGATTCGTCAAGCAAACTTCGTACAACCCCTGCACTGTCATCAACTTGCCCGAATCTTCACCACAGAATGCCTTCTGCTCAATCAGGATTGTTAATCTCAGCGTATCCGAAGCCCCCATGTTCAAATGCTGGGTCGCTTACCTCTAGAATCGCTATCGCACTACCTGGGATTAAATCAGCAAGCTGAAAAACTATCTCGACACTTGTGAAAAAGACTCAGCAACGAGCTCTACGCCTCAGACGTGAGATGACCTTCAATGTCCGCGTACAGTCGCAAGATGAAATAAACTTTCGAGTGGAGGTCCGCTTTTATTAGCAACGCCACCCGCGCAATACACTCGATGTACGCATACAGTGGCGTCGTCCTTGAGCTTCGGAACTACTTTTCCATGATGAAAGAATCGGAAGTGGGGCTCCGGATCTGCTACTAGCATCCCAAACACTTCTTCGAATTGCATCAGCTGTATATGCCGTGGACAAGCTGGCTTCCGAGCACCTAAGCTATTGTAGCGGCAGAAAATGAAGGGGCTAGTAATCAAAATCCCATGGGGTGCTCAATTTTGATAAAACCAGATATGATTTTTAGATATGTGATAAAACCGCCCATTTTGAGTATGATTTTGGTGTTAAAACCGGCTAATTCGCAGTAGTTTTGGCGCTACAGGCTCCCCAAAAAGGTGTCTCCAAGGACCTTTAAACGGGGAAACAGTTGCTATAATGCTGATATTCTATTGGTCAAGAGTGTGGAAAGGGCAAAACAGTTGTACAAACAGGCGTTAAAAATAAAACGTTCAAATTTAAAAGGCAGTCGTTATATCACCCGAATGGCAACATGCTTTAGGATTTGCACACACCCGAGTGCGCCCGAATGTGTCCGAGCTACCCGAATGGGGGCATTCGATGTATACATGCGAATCATGTATAGCTGGATAAATAGTTCAGTGAAGTGTAGCCAAGTTCAATGACATCCCAGGCAGTGTCAGAGTAAAATGCATCAGAAATGTAAAGTCTCATATTATGCCGAAGAAACTTACACAGACATACAGAGGTACCGGTATCGTAGAAGCTGCAACCTTTGCTTGTTCACATATCCCACGTCAGAAGCTCCCGTAAAGGCTTCGAATGCCAAGAGAACGTAAATGCCACAATTGTAGTTGTCGGTCTGGATACCAATGCTCGATACGTACGACTGGTGATGATACCTATCCTTCGGTATCGGTAGGACCCCCACCAACTTGTGCGCGATAGCTCGGACGCTGGCCGCATAGGATGATGACATCGGGTCGTAAGTGTATATGCTTTCGGTCGATAGGTCGATCATGATAGCGCACCAATGATTTCCATTACAATTGATGGGAACGAGCACCTTTTCGTCCGAAACCCCGGCGAAAAGAGACGCAAGGCCCTCCATGTCTGTAGTGTTTTTCCCGTTGACAACTACACCGACGTGGCTCGAATCAATGGTGACCACCCCTGGTGTGGACACAAACATCACGTTCATCACCGCATACATGCACTCGTCCCCGAGTGACCCTCTGGCAGCAAGGTCTAGTAGATGTATCTGTGCTCCAATGTTAGTCTTACTAGCCTTATTTCGAGGTAGTACAGTGACAAGATGACGTACCGAGTCAGAGCGAATCTGTAGCTGCTTAAGCTTGCTTGGTATCTCATGGTCTGCTTCAATAGTGTAGTCCGGGCTAAGCGGCTGGGTGAAGTCGGACTCGCAATTTCGAACTTCACATCTCTGTCTTCAATATCAACTGTAGATAATCTGGATGTAGTCGCCTGTTGATCTCCTTCACTGGCTTGAGCTACTGATGGTGTTTCATTGACTGGTTGTGATAGTGCAGAAATGCTATGTTCGGGCACAATCGGTCTCGGTTCAGGCACAGTTGGTCTCATATTAACCGCGGTTGTAGGTGGCTCCGGTTCACTTGGTTCTTGGATACATGCACTTGTTTTCGGGGCAGTCGGTTTCGATACACTCGCAGCTTGCTCGGGGATGATCAACCTTACATCTGGCACAATCGGACCTGCTTCGGGAAAGTTGGTCTTTGATTCGCACCAAGTTGAGCTTGATTGAGGTCCAATTGGGCATATGTCGGCTAGATCGTGAGTGTTGGCCTCCTCTGTGACACAGGAGATCCTAGTCTTACTGCAATGATCGCCCACGGCAAGCAAGCTCTCTTCGGTATGCTCAATATCAGCTTGACCAAACTCACAGTCGCCACAATCATCCACATCGTCACCCGCACCTGTGGTCTTTGAAACCAGGATGGTAGGTCGTTCCGTTTCGGTTTGAAGAAGCCTCTCAAATCCTTGTGCTTTATGATACGAGACACCGATTGGAAAAACTTCATTGCAAGCTGGTAGTCCTTCATCCCGAATCCGGCCATTGTGTCACTGATAGAGCTAGCTATCAAGTTTGCCTCCCGATATTTTCGGTTAGAGTCCCATGTGGAGCTCGCGTCTTCAGGGGCAGATACAATGGCAAACTTGGCACGAGGAAGTTCAGCCAGGTTGACAGCGGATCGGACCGTAGTTAGTAGCCACCGCTCGTTTAGCAATTGAGTCGGGATTACAGATTCCATCTTCATGTCTTTCCGTATGAAGAACACATGCCGGCAAGGAAGTAAGCGCGTCGCCATGAAGAGGCATGAGCACGTCCAACTATTCTTGTAAACCGTGTAACTGACTCGAGGCTCGTCGAGGGCATCTTCCGACCTTGATTCGCTATGGATAGCGTATACTCCGGGAAATACCTCATTATACTGATACGAAGTTTGGGCGACGGCAAACGTGTACTGCTTGTAGATCAGCTCACAAGCGTGTTGGCCAACGAGGTTGGCAACATGCTTCATCTCCTTATCGTAGTGAGTATGCTGGACGGAAGTCACTTTAAAGACTTGGTCGTTAAAGCTGCGTTCCTGACGACTCTGGTAGTACATGATGGAGGCAATGCACTCGTCCAGATCCATGAACGCGTCAACCCACTCTTTAAGCTGCTTCCATGCCGACTCTAAGCGGTTGTTAGTATTGTTTCCAAGAGTAACCGTGTTTTGACGCTTGTATGCACACCATAGCTCTCTGCAGCTATCCCAATTCTTCGTAAAGTAGGCTTCAAACGCATGCAGATTGGGGTCGCATTCCTCTTCGGCTTCATTGTGAGCATCCGAGCCGGCTTGAGTCTGAACTAAGTCCGCATCACCAACGCGAAACCCAATTGGACCCGAATCACCCGCTGAGTGCCCGACTGAGCTCGAATCCAACATTAAGTGCCCAACTGAGCCCGAATCAGCCACAACCTGCCCGAGTAAGCTCGAACTGCCCGAAGCAACGCCAAATGTCACAAGGTGGCGGAGGTAGCGACGATGCTTCAAATAGGCTGCCTCAGTAGGAGCATACACGAGCAAATTGAATGTGCTGCGTAGCTGGTCCTTTTGCCATGAGGTGAAACCATAGTCCGAAGATGCCACAGCCTCTCTCAAATACTTCAACACGTGAAACTGACAGAGCAGTATAGAGGCATCCGGAAACGCTGCCCTGAGTACCGACAACTCCGTAACGTCTTTGTCGATAAGTATGCTTTGGACTCGAGTCCATGCCGGATTGTTCTGCTTAAACTCCTCGATTGCAGTGACGAGAGTGTGACGACGTTCATTCTGCAGAAGGGCGTGCTGAACAAACTGTCCGTGGCCGAAAACATCGTGCGCCATGAACGAAAATACCTTGAACTTAGAAGCATTGGTGCCGTGGGTTGCATCGATCAAAAGAACCTACGGGAATTGCTCGAACATCAGCCTCATGTGCTGGGTTTGCAATGTAATGCAGGTCGCAACTCGTTAATTACATTCAACACTGCACGTTAGCTAAGGTATCGATAGTCAAATTGAACGAATACTATACCTTGGTCTGCATGGTCTCGACAAATATACGTCCAATATTTCCTGGTGCTTCACAGAATTCTTGCATCCATGTTTTCAACCGTTTGGAACTGTTACGCGAATTACGCACGTTTTCGCTCTGCTTGAGGCTTCGAACCATGTTACGCACGTCCTGAATAGACGGGTTGGCGTCCGTGTTCTCGATGATGAACTTCATAATATTCTTGTGTTTTGCACCCGCCTTGCGGAGCATATCCACCGACTCAACGACGCCATCATCTAGCACCTTGTGGATCGAGGAAAAGCGATAGAAGGTTTGGCGGTTGACGACATGATTGTGTACGGGGTTACACTTTGTGATACAAACTGCGAACGCGTGCTTGGCTTTGTCAACTAGTCGAACGCAGGCGTTGATCTATGCCAGATTTATTAACGTTAGTACCGATAATTGAGACAATAGTACCCGCAATGCCCGAACAAACCCGAACGAACCCGAGCAGAAGTAAAACTTGAAGCCGTATCTTACCTGGGCTTTGCAGTCCGATAACCGGGTCTCTTGACGTGGGCGCTTGCTGTTTCCCTTCGACTTGTACTTGCCGAAGCAAGTACAGACTAACGTCTTCGCGTAGTATTTCCATTCGGACGGGATTTCAGGTACTTTAGAGTTCTTGTTTCGGATGTCTGTGTTACGACGCTCAACGGTCGTGTTTGTACGAACACGGAAGACCTTCATAGCACACAATGGGATCAGCAAAGAAGCCTATTGCAGTGTAAATCCACTTTACCTGGTAAGATGCGGCAAAATACCGGTCTAAATACGAGTGGAAAGCGTCCCACGATGTGAAGTGGTGCTTGTCGGGCACAGCCAGCGTTACATTGATAGACTCAGAGTCGTCGGTGTTGGTCCAGTCGCTGGAGCGGCTGCTGTTGTCGCCAGATTCCATCGGGAGCGATTCGTCGACCAATTCCTCTTCGCTGGACTCGACCGAGACGTTGGATGCGTCATCATCGCTTCGTGACCCTGATCCACGACGTTTTTGAGACGTCCGCGCCCTTAGCTCCATCTACAACGTTTGCGCCGATCGATTCTTGCCCTGTGGCTGACCCACGCTCGGCAGCACGCGCAGATTCGTGGCGATCGTCCAGCAGTATTCAGACCCCGAGGCGGGAAAAATGTGTGGTCGCCCCCCTTTACTATACGGTATACTTTGTCCGGAAAGGGGTATTTATCTGAGGAGGTTTAGGGTCGACTCGACTCAGATTTGGCAGATTTTCATTCGGGCAAATGAATCACTCTCTTTTAAAAAAGACTATTCTAGCTGAGCACTCAAACGATAGAAAAAAATGTCATGAAATCGCTGGATTATCACGTCCATTAGTATCGTCTGGATAAAATCCAGAGAACGTGTGCGTGGGAGACTCCTGGACACAATTATACGGCCACCTTCCTATAATTCAGTCATTTGTTATTATTCGACGGTGCGGTTTTCACACAAGTTGCAAAACATGCTTAAAAAAGGCAAGGATGTGCTAACGCTCGCGTTTTTTGCACTTTATGGGGAGGCTCGCATACAAAAAAGGGATTTGTCAAGGTGGTCACAATTTACGGCCACAATCGGTCATACGAGGTTTACGCTTGACGAGAAGACAAAGCGCTGGACATGATTGTCAAAAACGTTTTCATTTGTCTCAAATACCGATTAAGCCCACGAATACCGGTCAAAGCTTGACAATTCAAAATGTTCAGTTTCCCTACAGTTGCAAATATATGCAATGCAGTCGTTTACGACTTCCATATGCAGTCGCAAACCTAGGAAAACGGAGAGGGAATACTATGGCGTGGTGGTAGAAGTAACTCATGTCGACGTCAAGCCTATGCGGTGTCGCTCCGTCTTGGCGCGGTCGATGAAGATCTCCACAAGCCGACGCCGCGTGTCGTCCAACTCGGTGGCGAGATACTTGGGTACAATAGAGCTGTCTTCTTTCATCGCAAAATGAAACGCCACCAGGCAGTCCACCGCGTTCTTGCGAACGCTAGAGCTCGCATGGTCGAGACGTCGCGTCAGTACGCCCATAAGACGAGCGGCCACGTCGTGCTTGAGCAGAAATGCTGACTCCTGGTGATTACCGCGCTCGCAGTTTTCGAAGCACACCTTGATAAGCCGCAGTACCACTTGCAGTGTCGGCGGCTCACTGTCGGAATCCCATTGAATCAGGACGGACAGCGTCTGTTTGTAGTCACTCGCAGAGACTATGAGATCACGAAGAATACGCTCGATCAAGTGGCGAGCCTGTTTCATTGACAGATGATGAGTTAGTTAGACCCCAATAGCAGCACCTTTGTCACTCGGCCCCGAAAAACTTACCACGTCAACTTGATCTACCATCGCACCAATCAAACGCTGAAGAAGCAGCTCGAAAAATACCTGCGCTCGAGAAGGCTGTGCTTCCACTAACCGTTGTAGAACCTTCAATGCATACAGATTGTTATCCGTAGCAGCGTCAAGTAACAGCAGAAGTAGCCGTCCAAAACAGCGATCCCACGTTTCCGTTGACCCAGTCTCGATGACATTTAAAGCCTGTTTCAAATAATAAGATTTACTTGTAACTTCAATCGAAACAATGAGGATACGCGCACACATACCTTGTGGAGTACATGCTTCACCTTTGATGCGGGTAAATTGTTCTGCTCGAGGATATGGAGAATATCTTCAAGCTGGACATCATACGTGTTCACTCTATCTCCCACAGACGCAAACAAACCACTCGAAATCGATATGTCTTCGGATGATGAAGTCTTTACTGCCATCTCGTTCGCTCGATCGACAGCCACAAAACTGCTTGCGAGAAGGCCCTCCTTTGGAAATGGTGAGGCTTTCTGGAATGTTGTGTTGATCCGCTTTTGGCTGTTCTGTGCAGGACTGGAGGAAGTCACGCTCGGTGACTCTACTCGCTTGCGGCTTCGTTCTGGTTTGAGTGGTGGAGGGACTTCCTGGTTGTCGTTCTCTTCACCGCGTGATCGCGTTGAGTGTGGCGCTGTTGATGACGATGAAAACGGTGGTCGCTGTGGGTTGCAAGAGTTGAGCAGAATTTTCTTGGACTTTAGGATCTTGGATACAACCAAGCGCTTGGATGGAGGAAGTAGGCCCAGAGCAACCTCCATCTCCGGGCCGTAAAGTTGTGCGGCAATCGAGATTAGCTCACCACATGCTGATGAAACCGAAACTGGGACGTCTGTATCCATTAGGAGAGCAATTTTGAGCAGGAATGACCTCATGTGGCTGTTGTTTGTACCATGTTTCATGTATCCTTCGGCCCCTGGCAGCAACTCGCGTAAGTAGTGGCATATGGCAGCCTTGATCTTCATATTGCTTCCATCTCCCACTAATGAGATCACAATAGCAACCAGTGTCGAGCTATCGAATGTCGACGCAATGTACTCCAAATTCTCCTTCGCAGCGTCTCGAATAGATTCCTTGGTGTTTATAAACTTTTGAAACAACTTTGGCAGAACCGTTTTCAAGTGAGGTAGCAGTCGCTGGCAATCGTTGGAAAGCTTCAGCAGTGGTAGCAAATTCTTCAGCACCCCCTGTGAGACGCGATAGTGGGAATCGCTGAGATGCTTGATAAACGCTGTTTGGATCCTGCCGTCCAACTTGTAATCCTTAATCGCACCACTTTCAATCTGGTCGACTCGTTTCTCGAGATACTTCCCGATGTATTCGGCAGCCTCCAGCCTAGTAGACCAGGAACTGCTCTCGACGTTCCGAATAGCTTCCTCGAGATCATCTGTGGCTAGCAATGGTGTAGCCTTAGGCCGCTCTGACGATATTACCGGTGCAATTCGCTTTGGCATAATGTCTCCAGAATCGCTCTTAGAATTATTGGTTCTAGAGCTCGATGCATTCGACGCAGTTGGTGAAGGCATAGACGAAAGTGGTAGTCGTTTCGGACCACGCGTCTCCACATCATCGATGTCCATTGGAACTGGTGATGGAGCTTCTCCTTCAAGCTGAATTCGCAGTGCTTTCGATAGCTGTTGCTGGGAGCTTGTGTGAAAACCTGCAGTGGGTGGTTCCTGTCGTGAGGTGTGTGCAGGCTGTGGTGGCTTCGGTGCATTCAGCACCCGAAGAGGGCCTGCAGGAATCTTTTGTGTTTCAGACGACGACACGACACCGTCTTTTGAAACTGACGTTTTTGTTCGAGCTGCTAGTCCAACACGCATTGGACCTTGAGATAGCAATCGCACGTTTTCCTCGCTAGAATCAACACCAAACGAGATTGATTTCCCTTCCAGTACGCGCATCGGCAGTTTTCCGGCAACTGAACCTTCTGCATTAAACTCGCGAGGTTTTTTGTCACTAAACGCCACCACTCCAGCGGCAGAAATTGCTGGCTGTGCTGCATCCGTTGTCCGAAGTGCTGAACGAACAACACTCGAACTTTGAGACGTTGAAGCCCCCATCGAGCTTGAGTCTGCTTGCCGCGTTGTTTTGGCGGTGAATTTTGAGGGATCGTCGTTTAAGTTCTTCTGAGTTGATCGATCTAAGCGAGCGAAGATGGTTTTAGCCTCGTTCTGTGTTACACATATCAACATTAACGAACATTAGCTTACTCTTCACGAATATTCTCCACGCTTGGGAACACTTACCGGGAAGAGGTACTGATACGACCAATAACATTCCCTGGACTGTGCACGCACGTCTCCCAGAGCGTCCTGCAAAATAGCAGGCATTATCGGCACGAACATCTCCGAGTGCCTGAAACAACAGCATTAGCACCAAAACCCGTACTCGGTTAGGTTGAAAAAAAAAAACACACACACACAGCAATACCCACTTGCTGAGGAAGCTGACGCTCCAATGTTGAAGGATTAATGTCAGATAGCACGCGGCGTTGTATCGTAGCACTTGGTTCCGAGATTTGACGCATTCGATCAGCCTAGCACATAATAGGCAACGAGATCATTAGCGCGGGGCAGAAATCGTGGCAAAAGCCCAGCCAACTTGCTTAGGAATCACGCGCGCGTAGCCGTTGCTCGTGCTTCCAATCATGCTTTTAATAGTTGTATCTGCTGCAGTCGAAATCACTTGGATAGTTACGTATGTCGCCTTGAGTAAACTGCCAAGACATATTTCTGCATGCGAGTTAAACTCGTCTCGAAGAATATTGGCGAGTTTCTGAATCGTCTGGCATGCTTCTCTGGACACAGACGATCGCAAGTCGCTCACTTGCTGACACAGACGCTCACGAACTGCCCGTAAGCCCTGAGATAATAATGGAACGGCATCTTCACGATTCAACGCTTTGCTGCATCGGTTTGCTAATTTCTGAAGCATCTTCAGTCCATCAACACGCTTGTCCCAATTACTGTCACGTTCAAGTTTGTCATATATCACACCGAGTTGCCGTTGGAGTTCCTTGTCCAAGATCTCGTTGCCGTCTGCTCCGGAAAAAATCTCCGCGCTAAAGTCCTGTGGAATTTGGCTGCTTGTAGGGGATACTTGAGACGGTGACCGCTTGTCTTCTGCTGAAGTTGCTGTTACCTTAGCCTCGCTCAGAGTTCGGCTCTGGACAGAGACCAAATATCTGGCCATCGAGGAAGAAGATGACGAAACCTGCAGATCGTATGACGACAAAATCGACAAATCATCTGGGAGGGCGTTGTTAGACACTGGGGTATCACTAGACTGCGACCAGCACAAAACTATTCAGTACCATTACCGGACATCACCGATCACTGCAAAAACAATTGCCTACGTACCGATCCGGCATCACACGAAGGAGCAGCACGCGCAACGCCCGCCGAGATTTTTGAACGAACTGGGATCTGCTCAAAGCGTTCAGTGAGAGTCTTCGTGTGCGCTGCCCGAATACTCTTACACTCCAAGTCACTCTGCATTATCGAGCACACACAATAGTTCATTGCCACATCATCTAAAAACTCAACCACCAGCCTATAATCTGCCGTACAAGTAGCGAGGGCCCAATGAATGTGTAAAAGATCTCCAACGTCAAAATTGCTGCATCGCGCACATTCTTTGACGAGTCTTCCAGCAACCTTAGTACCTGCACATGATAATCGCTCCGTCACATTCCATCCCATGTACGAATAGACACTCACTCAAGACTCCAAGGACTTGCACTCACATCATCCAGCAGTTCGTCTTGCCACGCCTTGAACAAATTGTGCCTTTCTAGACACCTCCAAACTGCATGTAAGCTCTAAAACACCACGCCATCTGCATTAAATATCCTAAATCCAGCCCTCAAGGCCCACTCTGCAGGTACCTGCTCGCGCGTGCGCCAATTCTTGTGATTCATGCATCCTTTAAGCTTCTCCAACACGGTAGCCACGTCAAGCACAACAGAGATTTCCACAACCACGTTCACGGCTTTCTCTCGGACCACTAATTTATTGTCCCCAAGCCGCTCTACGAGGCTGATCCACAGAAGCTTTAAATACGAGCGAAGCGTGCTCTCAGTCACACGCGCTACCAGCAGCTCTAGAATCTCCAGGGCTCCGAGTGCGATTTTCGAGTTGTGGTCACGTAAACAGGGCAGAACTTGCGGGATTAATATGGCTGAGGAGTCGGGGACTGCCTCTTGCCGACGGAGCAGCTCCAACAGCCCCGTTACACCGGTCAAGCGCTGCTTGATGGCTGCAGAGTGTGATAATTCAAGCAATTCAGAGACAGAAAGCCGCTTTTTCGAATCTGAAGAAGGCAGCGCAGACTGCAGACGTACCTGTAGAACCAAGTAGCGCGGCTATTTCCTCCATGTCCAAGTGCAGCTTGGTACGAGTCGTATGTACGACGTCTGGTACAGTTTACTTACTACAGCGCGCCTCTTTTCCAATTCTTTGAAAACCGGTATGGCGGCTGTTATTGGTGGAAATTTTCCCAATCACGGGGTTTTCTACCAATTTCAGTAATGGTATGTATTTTTTTAAGCAGATAAAAAATATTCTTCTGCAGTGAAGAACCACTAAGGTTATCATGTCAGCGGGGCCGCGGGTTCGTCATGCCGCAGCGGCCAATGAGACGATTGTGGTGCGCATCTGGCGCTGGGTAAAGATAACGATCTGTAGGTAATCGCATTGGTGTGGTGATAGGGTCTGGTCTGACGTCAGCTACAGGGCACGTGTTCTACGGACAGAATGAGTGGCAGCGTTTGTGCAGCCCGACGGGAGCTGGGGTGGATGAGGAAGAACGCATCGTGCGCTTTCGCACAGAAATGGCGCTGTCAACGCAGATGGTGCAAACGTGCAATGTGGTGTTTGATAACGAGCCGTTCCCGGTGCGTGGCGTAACGGTGGGGTCCTGGTAGTTAGCTCACTAATAATGTTGTAGATGGATGCAACGCTGCATGACGTGGCAACGAGAGCCAAGCTGGATGAGCGAGACGCAACGTGAGTGGAGGCCTGGAACTGTTGTTGGGAGCGACCTGGTGGCTGATTCGTGCAAGGGGTTTACTGCTGCTCTACAGATTGATGGTAAACGTACGCTCGTGTCTCCAGCGCTGCAACTTTGTGAACAAGGTGTATGCCCGCGTGTGCGCGCTAAAGAACCAAGCGTACAGCTCCTTGGAGCCCGAACACGAGGAGATGTTGGAGCAGTTGTGGGCGAATTTGAAGCCTGATACTCGTCGTGAAGGTGGACGTATCACCAAGGAGTGGGGGGAGATTGGCTTCCAAGGTGCGCTCTTGTGATACTCGGTATATCTAAGCATGTGCGTGCCTTAAATTTGATGTATTTGCTGTACAGGAACGGATCCGATGTCAGACTTCCGCGGCATGGGTCTTTTTTCGCTGGTGCAGCTCAACCACTTCGCAAAAAGCTACAGAATTGAAGCCCAGCAGTGCGTTTGCAACCTTTTCGTATAGATGGTATAGCACGGTTAAATTCTTACGTTATGCATTCGCCGTGGCAGTGCATTGGGGGAGTCGAATCATCCGACGCGCTGGTACCCATTTGCAGTGACCGGCATCAACATCACGGCTTTTATGATCGAGTTGATTGACGAGCGTCTGCTAGACGTCAAGCTGTACCGTCACGCTGCTAATGGTGGATATGATGCTGTGGACACTGGGCTCAAACAGCTCCACGATATATACGGTAAGTCTCCTGATGCTCAAGCATCCTTCGCATTATGTCCTAAATATGTCTCTCTCTTGTCAGCCGCGGTCTTCACTCGTTTCAACAAGCTGTGGGTGGACACAAACCCCCGCGATGTGATGGCGTTCCCATCTATCTTCCAATCGCTCAAGGACGACATCCGCCATGAGTTGACTCTCAAGTCGTTCCGCTACTGATAAAACTGCGACGTGTGAGATTTTAACCGTAACACGCTAAACCATTTGTTAAAACCTCGCTGCTCCCATCCAATCACTTGTCTCGAGAACACATTGCAGTTAAGACGAGAATTTATTTTGACAGTCATGGGCACCGGTCGGTCGGGATCAGGCAGGGCGCGCGCGCACGCCAAGAAGAAGCAATACAAACGTGGGCATGCCACCAAGAATCGTTCTCGCGACATCGACCAGATCCAGGACGACCTGCGCGCGGAGAAGGTGACAGGCAAGTCCACGGCTTTCGAGGAGGACGAGGATCTGCCAGGTCTGGGTCAGTTCTACTGCACGCCGTGCGGCCGCCATTTCATCGACGCCAAGACGCGGGATGTGCACCTCAAGACTAAGGTACACAAGCGGAGATTGAAGGACGTCGCGCAGAAGCAGTACACACAGAATGAGGCCATGCAGGGCGCTGGCAAAGGGGTTGAGACCTACAAACCGGCCCGCCCTAAGGAAATCCACGACATGGATGACTTGTAGAATTGCTTTGAATGCAGGGGTCGATGCTGACACATTTGGCGGTGGTGCTATATGACGAGTTATTGGCCACCATTTGCTGAACAAGCTAAACGAACTTTCGTTTTACGAATTTAATGAAAGTGGTGCCACACGCTTGGTGTGGATTTCGATAGCAATATGCCAAAAATAGCATTACGGACTGCTGCTGGTTGACCTCCCTGCCATATTGAACAGTGACTGGACACAATCGAGCAACGCATTCTGCCTTCGACCTATCGTAAATGGCAGGCCGGCCAGGTTCGCGTCGACAGTTTTCCTTTCGAGAGAGCGACAGCATCGATGATGTAAAAACTGACGTATGCACCTGCGTTGGCTCGTTCAATATTGCCTGTAGAATGTGAACTGACGCTAGTGCTGTTCTTCATAGCTCCTTCAATCTGCTGCTGTCAGTCCATGGGACAATATCACCCCTAGAGCAACTCCAATAGAGCCTTATCGACCGAAGCCGCAGCGCGAAGTCGTTAAAAAGAATCAGGATCCACATCGCCCACCTGCTCCTAGGAAGAGATCAATTGGTCATATTGGCCCAGTGAAAATGCCGTGGGTTGCTCGGGACCGCGACTTTGTAAGGCCAGCCGCTGTGATCGTACCGGCGCCTCCTCTGAAATCGCGAAGGGCTGCTCCTCTGCACACAGTGAAGGTGTGCTCACTTGGTCAACACACGCGCTCTGGGAGAGCTCATCATATACTTGTACTTTGGGGACAGATCGCTCACGCAGGTTGGAGTCGCGCAGACAGACTCAACGCACAGCCAGTTGTAAACACGTATCAAGATTTATTGAAGCAGACTGAAGCGATGGCAAGCTTCGTCCATCATGACAGTCTTGAGCTAACATTATTCTCCAAATAGCTCACTTGTTTGTTTTGCTTAAAGGAATTGGAGTCGACCGAGAATGCTGAGAAGCGGCAAATGGATGAAGCTGCCTATCGCATGGGACTAGCTAACATTTCGGATGAAATGTTCTGCAAGCAGAAGGACCTCATCCGCTTCGACACGTTTAAAAATGAAGTGGACATCTTCCAGCAGCATCTGGTCCCATTCATCTTTGATATCCGCTCCGAGCGTGAGCGACAAGTCAACTCGAGCGTTTATCGTCACTTCAACCGGATGAGAGCAATCCAGGACATGGACATCCCCATTTATAGCCTTGGAGAGTACCTGTTCGAAGATACTGACCGCATCATCAATGCTCGCGCAAAAAGCACATTATATCGACGAGTTCGACGTCGCAGCGCAGCCCATTTCATCGACACAGAGCTTATTCCTCGCCCAGGGGGGCAACGCAACTCTATTGTCAGCAGTTTTACATATCCGAAGGCGACTACATAGTTTCGGACCGCGAACAGTTTCGGGCCACCCGCTCATTACAACTTCCTAAATAAAGCCGATTTTTGAGCGAGCACAAAGTATTGTGCTTTGCAAAAGTTTTGGCAAATCGGATGGTAGGAGATACCATGATATACTTCAAGTATCTGTTAGAATTGTGCATGAGGTTACACTCGTGTAACCGCGGTCCCGTAACCGGAGTACTCCCGCGGAAGGTGAGAATACTGCTGGAGGGGCGAGAACGCAGGTAAGAGGGTTAGATAAAGAGCCTCACCTTCTCAATATACGGTGTCCTTCCACAGATCAAACTAACATGTTATGAGCCCAGCAGCTTACACCGTTGCCTAGAGCGAAGCTCTAGAAACTCCGGAAGCCAAGGAGGTTTGCCCAAGAGAGGGACGACGGCCAGTACGGAGACGTTGATGAAGTCAAAACGCTGCCCAAGCCCAAGGACCCGCAAAAGAAGCTGCTGGACCTGCTCACGGACTTGGCGGGGCGCATGGGGCGCCTGGAAGCCTCGCAGCAGCGGCAAGAGGACAACGAGCGGTTCTCGGACCGCGAGTCGAGTGTCTTCGGCTCTGCCATCGGTCTTGGACGAGCGATGGATTGCCAGGCGTTGGGCCAGACGCCGCCACCGCGGAACCAGCCAGTATGCCCGGCCACGTACTTCGGCGTGAAGCAGCGTGTGTACGGGTACGAGAGCGCAGTCGCGAACGTAGAGATGGCACAAGCACCACAGCCAGTGCTACCTCAGCACTACGTGCCACCTCGGCAGCCCCGTCTATCTGTGCAGCCGCCAGTCATGCAGCAAGGAATGAATGCACCGGTGACCAGCTTTCCTCGAGCTCCTGACACGCGTCAGCGTAAGCTCAGGATTCGGCATTTCGACGGCAAGGAGTTCTACCAAGGCCTCGGTAGCGGTTTCTTGTCGTGGGGCAAGAGGTTCGTTCGGCAGATACAGTTCGCGGAGCGCGCGAGCGGTTTCCAATGGACAGAGAAGGTGAAGGTGGAGATTCTCGGACACCACCTCACCGGCATGGCCGAGCGTTACTACAACCAGCAGGTTGAAGGCTGGTGGGGCGAGGAACCGACGTTAGAGCAAGCGATGCAGCGGTTGTTGCACACCTTCGCGACGAAGATAACGCCGGCGCAGAGCATGAAGATGTTCGCAGCGCAGAAGAACTCAAAGCGTAGCTGGACGGAGCACTACCTTTATTTGGTGGCCGTCAGCGATGCGTGTGGAGGCGCCGACAATTTGGTACTCGACAGCATCGTGCACTACGCTAATCCTGCGATGAGAGTGTCAATGTTATCAAGGTTATACCTTAGACGCACGGATTACCTTCGGCAAGCGGATGAGCTGGCTCACTTCGCGCGGTCGACTGAGATAGAGATACGTGGTAAACACCTGTGGCGCGACGTCGTGAGCGATGTACGCGAAGCCCGCGTGGACAACAGGAAGTGTTTCAAGTGCGGCAAGGTGGGTCACCTAAAGGCATCGTGCCGAGGCGGACTCAGGGAGGGAGGTCGGCGAGAGGACGCCAATTTTGTCTTGGCAATGGGCAGTACGGCCAGCGACAATGACATGTGGATTCTCGACACTGGGTCGGGACGTCATCTTGAAAACGATGAGAGCCTGCTGGAGAGCGCCGAGGATTTTGACAGCGAGTGCATTGCCGATAATGAAGGAGCACTGAAAATAACCAGGCGTGGAAGTGTGATGCTGGAAATCACGACGATGAGGAAACAGACGAAGGTGCTACTGTTGGATATGGAGTACGCGAAGAACTTGGAGACGAACATTTTTTTGTATGGGCGGTTGGAAACGAAGGCTACAGGATCGAGTATCGGGGCCCGAATCGCGTGATAGCCGCGATGAGCGGCGGACCAGCGGTGTTCGACGTGGAGAGATGCGACAACGTGCTCGTCGTCCGCACCGGAGGTCACAGCGGCCGGCAGAGCGCGAGGAGCGTGTTCATGGCTGTGCTGGCGGAGAGCCAAGCCGAGAAGGAACCGGACGTACAGACTGGTACACTGATGCACTTCCACCACAGACTAGGGCACCTCAATTACGGCACGATCCTGCGCATGGCGAGGGACCCGGCGTCGGGGATCTCACTGACGGACGAGAAGCGTGCAAACGGCTTGTCCTGTGCGCAAGGCAAGCAGACGAAGAACAAACAGTCGCGCAAGGACACGGGGGCCAACTCGCCCACCGACGTCATCGGTGACGTAATTTGCTCCGACCTGAAGGGCCCCATGACGCCACTTGACCGGATCGGGAACAGGTATATGATCAACTTTATTGACCATCGCACGAACTATTGCAAATTTTTTCTAGCCAAGAACAAGGCCGTAGCGGCGCAAAAGTTTAAACGCTTCATGGTCTTCTTTGAGAGGTAGTTTAACTGTCGCATTCACGTGCTGCGCACCGACAGCGGAGGAGAGTACAAGACTTTGGACTTGTTCTGCAAGGACACCGGCATTGCTAGACAAGTTAGCGAGCCGCGCAAACAGGCCAGCAACGGCAAGGCGGAGTGCATGCACCGCACTGTAATGAACATGGTGCGCAGCATGGTGTTTGCGTACGGGTTACCTTTGAGCTTTTGGGGGGACGCCGCGGAGTACGCCGCATAAATCTTGAACCGGAGTCCAAGCAAGGGGAACCCAGACTTGAAGTCGCCGCTGCAGATGCTCACGAAGAGCACGCCGGACCTCGGCGACATTGTGGTGTTTGGCTCCCCGTGCACCAGAACGCCAAGAACAAGGCGTTGGGTGAGCGCGGGAAGCCCGGTATGATCATCGGCAAGAGCGAGGAGATGAAGGGGTACAGGGTATATATCCCGAAGGTCAAAGTGGTGGTCGTCACCCAGCATGTCAGGAATGTGGAGACCCTCACGGACGTGCAGAACGAGCAGCTGAGGCGCGTGCATCTAGAGGACTCGGACGAGTCCATGGCGGAAAAAGCCGCCCCTGAGACGCAAAGACCCTTAGCGGCGCCGAAGCCAAAGTCGAAGCGTCGTGCGAAAAGTCGGTGGGCTCGAGAGAAAGATCAGCCTAGATTGGCATCTCGAAAGACAGCAGCGGCTGCAGAAGAGAAGAACAACGGAGACGGTCAGCTTGACAGCAACGGGTCCGCGGGCGTCGATGTGGTAAATAGCGTGTGTGAACCAGATCCGAAGAACTACGCGCATGCGATGAAGAGCAAGCTCAGGAACAAGTGGACCGTCGCGATGGTTGAAGAGCTTAGAGCGCTCGAAGAGAACGGTGTGTGGACGGTGGTGGTACCGCCTACGGGCAGCCATGTGTTGCACATGAAATGGGTTTTTAAGACCAAGACGGATGCCGATGGAGCCATCGAGCGATTCAAAGCTCGGCTGGTGGCCTGTGGAAACGAGCAGTTGTTCGGTATCGACTACGGGCTCACGGTTGCCGTAGTGATGGAATTGAGCACCGTCAAGGTGATATTGGTGTTTGCGCGGCACTGAGGCGTGTCTACGAGGCACGGGGGCATCCCCAACGCGTACGTGAAGGCCGAGAAGGAGCAGCACCTAGAGCACTACCTGGTCATTCCAAAGGGAATGGAGATCCCGGAAGAAGTACTGCGGGCGTTCAACGTGAGTGGCAGCACCAAGCTGGCACTACGGCTGCAGAAGTCACTGTACGGCTTGAAGCATGCCGGACGGTTGTGGAGAAAGCTGCTCCACGCCAAACGCGAGAAGCTGGGTCTCACACGCTGCGTCGCAGACATGTGCTTGTACTACAAGAGGCAGGGCAATGAGATGACGATCGTGGGCGTGTACGTGGATGGCCTTCTGATCACCGCGTCCGTCTCCAGCTTAGTCGAGGAGTTCTTCTCGGAAATAAGTACTCTGTCCATCAAGGATTTAGGCGAGGTGAGGAAATTCCTCGGCACGCGCGTGAAGCTGGACGAACAGGGAGACTAAAATCTCGACCAGCAAGCAGCCATCGAGGAGCTGCTGAACCATCTCGGGCTCGCGGAGGCGAACGGTGTCAGGGCGCCAATCGGAGAAGAAAGTAACGAGGTGGAGCCCAAGAAACTGGAGCTACTACCGAAGATAGCCGCCCGCGGACAACCGACGATCCGAGGATTCCAATCGCTCGTAGGTAGCCTGCTCTGGGTCGCGCGGTGTACAAAGCCAGACATTAGCTTCGCCGCTCACAAGACGACGCGACGCACACACCAGCCGTCGACGATTGACTGGGTGCTCGCAAAAGAGGATCGCGCGCTACCTGAAAGACACAAAACATCTCAAGTTGGGGATGCACGGCGACGTGACCGGAGACCAGAGGATCACGTTCGAGAGCTGGAGCGACTCGGACTGCGCTGCGGACAAAAGCGACAGAAAGTCAGTAACTGGAGGAGTCGTCACCATGGACGTCGCCATAGTACAGTGGATCTGCAAGAAGCAAACGCGTGTCTCGCTCTCCGCCATGGAGGCCGAGTTTACCTCAGCATCACACGCTGGACGAAAGCTGCTTGGCCTGCGGGAGCTCGTGCGTGAGCTGGAATTCGAGGCGGTGCAGCCCATGGCCATGTACATGGACAACCAGACAGCCATCAGGCAGCTGGAGTTCGAGGACAGCACATCAAGCGCCAAACACGTAGACATACGCATCAAATTTGTGTGCGGCTTCGCGAGAAAGGGGATCGTGAAACCCGAGTACGTTGAGTCGCGCCTAATGATGGCGGACTCTTAACAAAGGCGCTTTCGGCGCCCAGGATGGCCGAGCTGCGGGGGATCTTCGACCTGAAGAAAGCGTAGCGAGCGACGGTCGAGGAGGAGTGTCAGAATTGTGCATGAGGTTACATGGTGACCGCGGTCCCGTAACAGGAGTCGGCCGCCACTTACGCGGATGGTGAGAGCACTGCTGGAGGGGCGAGAACGCAGGTAAGAAGGTTAGATCAAGAGCCTCACGTTCTCAATATACGGTGTCTTTCCACAGATCAAACCAACAATATCGTGGTCGACTTCATTTGC